TTCTAAAATAAATTATTGTCTTAAAGATAAGTCAAGGATGTTTTTAAAATATTTTATTTTAATAAAAACAATGCCTATTTGTTAGGAGTGTGATAAAAATTGAAAAAATGTTAGTAAAAAGCAATTTATTATGATGAAATAAAGATTTTAAATATATTTAATTTGAAATAGAGGTTTAGAATAGGCTGTTAAGTCCAACAGCTGATATTGACTGCAATATATAAGTTGGATTTCATCAGCTAGTAAAGTCTCTATAGAGGTGAGATCATCAGAAAAATCATTAATCTAGAAAAGGAACAACACAAAACCAAGTATGGAACATTGTGGTACTTCAGAAGTTACTGGAAATGAAAGATAATGTTGACAATCAAAGACAACTTTAATACTGTGATTAGAAAAGAATAGTTCCATATTTTTAAAAACTTTCCTAAATAGGCTGTATGAAGCAAGCTTACCAGACCTTTTTACCATTATGCAAAATTTTATCAAAAGCCTATGCCAGGATATGTTAAGAGCGATAACCCTTGCCTTATTGCTTCTGTATATTATGTATGCTAGAACTTGTTATAGCAGTTAACAAGTCAGCAGGTTAACAAATCTTTATTTATAATCAGGGAGTTGAACTATAATTTTTTTATTTACTTTAAATTTAATTTAAAGGTTATAAATTTAATGTTTAAGAAATCAGGCTGTTCTTTTTCTACTAGTAATCAGTAAACAATTCAACTTATATAGTTATTTTTTTTTAATTTAATGGCATGATTCAGTTCTTGTAACAGTTTTATAGTTAAACTTTAAAAAAAAGATTTCTCTAAATTGTAATAATCAAACACTACAAAGAAAAGTTTCATCTATTCAAAGAAAGTTTTCTTGAATAGATAAAAACATCTTTACAAATATGAATAGAAGATAAAATTTTTTACAAATATCTGCATAGAAGATAAAAACATCTTTACAAATTTCTTTAGAAATTTGTAAAGATGTTTTTATCTTCTATGCAGGTCTGTGGAGTCGGAGTTGCAGAGTTGCAACAATTTTAGCAGAGTCGAAGTCGCTAAAAAATATTGCTATTCCGACTCCGATAGTAATATTTCTTGGTATTGCACGTGCATGTACAAAACATTCAATTAACCTTATGTTCGTACTAAACCTCAAAGAACATTGCATAAATTTGTCAAAAAAATTTTTTCAACTTATCGCGCAATATTTTTTAAAGAACTCAAAGAATTTTTCAAAAATTTTACTTTGGAGTAGGAGTCAGAGTCGGAGTTGGAGTTGTACTCAAAAAATATCAACAACTGGAGTTTAAGTTGTTACTTTTTTTTTACGTCTCCACACCCCTGCTTCTATGAATTGGATTATTTTAAATAAAGCACTTGAACTCCGTTTAAAATAAAAGTCATTGAAGATACATCATAAGAAGTTTAAAAGTTAAGCAAATGGTAATGGTAGTTCCTTTTAAACTTTAAATATTGTAAAAATATTAGCAAGTCTCTCTTGGTATACACCACTCTGGAAGAACAGACTTCTTAAAAAATGGTTTAAATTTTTCTTTTCCCTGAAATGTATAAACTGCACTGACTTTTACATGTTTTTTGAGCAAATCAAGCAGGTTTTTCAAAGTAATATTGTTACTTTTTTCCTACCTGCCTATTTGATGTATCTTTGTTTCTAGACAATATATAAGATTTTTTTATGTTTGTAAAATATCAGTTTTAAGCAAAGTTATGTTATGTAAAATATCTGTTGTAACCAAAAAAAGATTAGGTGTTACCATTAAAAGATTTTAATTGATTGTTTGCAAACTTGTATGTGCATGTGTAGCTCTTGTTATATCAGTGGAACAAAAATGGGTGAACAGCATAAGAGAATCAAAAACTCACTTATCTACAAATATATCTATGTCTGTGATAATAACTATGGCTTCTCCATATTGAGTTTTGCTTTCAATAAATTTGAATTTAAACTTAAAGAAAGTTTGTTTTAATAGAAAAAACTAGATATGATCAATCAGACGAACCATTTCAAAAAATTTCTCATGCTATAACTCCAGTGAAATATCAGGTTGTTAACTATCTGTATGTACCTTTAAATCATTATTTTACTATACTGCAATGTCCAATGCTACTATAATGCAATGTCCAATTTTATTTATAATACTTAAATCAAAGTATCATAAATGATATTAGAATGGTTAAAAAAAACAATTTATAATAGTTGTAAAAGGTGTTTTATGGTTGATGGCAAAAATAGAAATTGATTACTTTGCTTCTCACATGGTATTCACATTTGGATTTGAATAAAGGTTAGCTAAAATGGAAATACTGGCTGGTTCTTATGTGCTTCATCGGCATAATAATAGATATCTATTTAGCACATATGTAGCACCTACCTTTGTAGTCTTTAATACTTAAAATCAATATTATTTTTAAAAGTAAATTTACTTTATAAATAAAAAATAAAACTTATAAATAAAGTTCTCATAGATATAACCTTTTTAATTTATGAAAGTATAAATATATTAAGTATAAAGTAGTAATATTAATCTATAAATATCTATAATATTTATAGAATAGTTTTACTGCTTTATACTTTATATATTTAATATAAATTCTGTCTTTATATAAAAATATAAGTTCAGCATTTAATGCATATTGTATAAAACTTTTGAATATTTAAAAAATTTTATTATAATTGTTCTATATTGTTATTGTTAATTATTCTATATTTAGATTTATTATTTTTACAGCTTTATTTTTACTCCGTGAGCCTGATAGTCTTGATGGTATCCCTGATGATGTCAAGAAAGACTTTCAAGATACTTCAGAGTTTTGTGTGGAAAAATTAAAAGCTCTAAAAAATGTCATCATTGATACATTTGAGGTAGTTTTCATACTTTTTTTTTAATTTTGTTTTATCCTTTATATAAATTTTTAATTTGTTTGTACTTATATGTACCTTTTGTTAGGAGAGCCACGTTTATAGATATCGAGTTAAAGGAAAATACAATCATGGTGTAGTGGAATTTGAAGGTTTAAGTGGTAATTCACCCTTTTCACAAACTGTAAGTATAATGTGTAGTTTCTTATACTATATAAAAGATGTTATATTAAGTATTTTTAATATTATTAATATTTAAAATAATTTAAAATAAGAATTTTAACTGTTTGCTTTATATAGTTAAACAATATGATTTGTAGTGAAGTTTAAACTGTTAAAAAGCATCTTTAACTAATTAATTAGGCTTGGTCAGGAAGCGGGTACAATCGCACTTTATTCCTAACCACGCAAATTGTATCTAGTTGCAACAACTTGGCCACAGCTTTTTAAATATTTTGAGAACATTTAAATTTATGTATGTTTCCATGTGTTCGATTTTATTTGACATGCTAAAACAATTAAATTCGTAAGAATCTTTTGTAATAAAATGTTTTAATATTAGCAATGTGCTTTTATACTAAACAATGATATACATTTATTGATCATTTATAAAAAAAAATTTTTAATTTTATTTTTTAAATTATATAAATTAAGTTTTATTAATAATTATAATAAATAATTATATAAATATTAATATAGATGAGTTTTTCTTTAAATGTAAGTCATTTAAAAATGTTTGTACGATCAATTTTATAAAAATAAGAATTTTAACAACAACTGCATTTTCAATTAAATTAAAAAAATAATCATCAAAGTTAATAAAATTAATAATCAAATAAACATACAGGAACTTAGAGGTGACTGAACATAAAATACATATATACAAAGTCAATTATGAGTGGATGAACACTGTGCCAGAGATTTGAAAAAAATACAAACGTACATTTATATAAAATGATACATAACAAAAATATACAAATATATTAAAAAAGCTTACTCACTAAATACACAAGCGATATTGTGAAGCAGTTCTGCTTCCTCTTCATAAAAATATTTTACCTTTTTAGTTTAACCATTAAAGTTTTTTTAAAAATAATTTGATACAATAAAAACTTCTAGTTTGCAAAAGATAAAATAAAATTATAATTTACTTAAAATGTAATATGTCTTTTATATATTAATTTATAATATATATTATAGTAAAATAAACCGATGGACGCAAGTAAAATATAAAGTTATCAATTGTATACATTGTGTGTAAACTGATCATATAGACCGCTGTTTCAAGGGTCTTGCGTATTGCAGAATTTTTTAAAACATTATAAAGACACTTCTAAAAGAAAAGGTCGTTATAATATTTTTATAGTAGCACAATTATTTAATTATTTCTTTACTTAAGAAGAATTGTTTTAAATATTTTAAATTCATAGTATATATTGCAAACTACGCAAAGCATGAAATGGTTATAAAATATATATTTACTTTTTTATTTATTATATAATTCAACTACCTTAGTTTTATTAGAATTTTGTTGAAATAAAATATAAATACTTAAATAAAGAATTATGTTATACGCTTTGATTAATTGAAAATTGTTTGTTTCTTTACTAAACGATCATTATAGTAAGTTGTTACTTTTTATAAAAGTGTCGCCTAATATTTATAAAATAATTATAAAAGAGAGAAGTTTAGAAATAACTTATTCTAAATATAATTTTTCAGTGGTTGTCTCCTGTCAAGTTAAGTTTTTTTGCGCTTTTTGAAATGTTCTCAAAGCATCTTAAGTTGTGGCCATGTTGTCGCAACTAAATATTATATGCGTGGTCAGATATAGAGTGCAATCGCACCCACTTCCCAACCAAGCCTGGTTAATCACATATAAATTTTTAAGTTACTGCCCCAATTAAAATTTTTAAGTTACTGCCACATTTATAATTTCTTAAGTTACATAGTATGTTCTAACTTACTATTCATGTGAGAAAAAAAATATTCATAAAAAAAATCAATGAGAAAAATCTCTGTACAAAGAAAAAAGTATTTTGCTTATAATGAAAATAAAAACAATGCCATTAATTTCATGTGATATTTAGTGTTACATGTTCTAGAATATGATGAAATGTAATGCTGATGAAAGCAGCATTAAAGATGATTGATGTTGTTGAAAGTCTTGAAGTTTTGAATAGAAAGGCCAGACCGTAAATGTACAAGATTCAAGTTTTTAAAATTGTTACAAAAAATGTAGGGGAAGTTTATTGCTTAGTTTGATGCAATGCATCACCAAAAAAAAACAAGATTCTTTAAATAGCAACAGCTGCAACAGGTTTTTGTAAAAAGTTTAGTTTGCGCAAGTGTGCTTTAAGTCTCTACAATGTCATTGAGACAAACCAAGATATGTATATGATGTGACTGATAACCTACATGCTTTGTACAATATAAATCTATTATATATGTGCCTATTAGGCCTTTTAAAGATATAAACCTGTGTTACTTGTTTTACCTATCAGGTTGCTTAGCAACCTAGTTTAACAAGGTAACAATTTTTTTTTTGCTATTATTTTTTTGTTTTTTCCTGATTTTAATTCCTTTTTTTCAATATTTGTTTCAGAACTACAATTTGAAATTTGAAATTAAAAAACTACATAGGTGTGACTTTTTTATTTGAGTGGTCTTCATAAAAAATTGCAGTTGTAACAATAATGGTTGTAAAAATACTTATATTAATAAAATGAGTAATAAACTAAAAAAATAACTACTAATTAAAATGGCACCTACAATAATTTTAAACATTATATAAGTAATAATAATAAGTCATAACATATGTATTCATTATGAATTTCTTTGAATTATTTTATAAGGTTTTTGATTTTTTCCAAAAACGAATTGAAATATTGTATCCTTTGGATCCAAGTCCAGAAGACCCACTACAAGTTCAAAAGGAAGCACATGAGGTTGGTTTATAATTTTATTTTTTTGCTTATATCCTACTTTTAAATTTTTTTATTTTTATTGAAATTTTAAAAAGGCAACTTTAACTTTAGACATTTTTGGATAGTCGGTCTCAGTGTGTTCTTGGCAGAGATAAGCTCATTTCTCAAGTATTGTTGTTTTACCTGTTGCATTATATTTTACATATTTTTGATTTAAGACAATGACAGTTTATTTTTTGTTAGATTGATCATTATTCAAAACATGATAATAGTAGAACACCATTGCTAGTTATTGGAACAGCTGGTGCAGGAAAGTCTGCTCTGATGGCAAAATGTGCAAGTAATGCTATTCAAATGGCTGAAAAAAATGAAATTGCTGTGCCTGCGTATGTTTTTGTATTCAGCGTAATTTTTTTCTAAATTTTTTTATTTAGAAATATTTATATTAATTGAAAGGTAATTTTTTTAGTGGTTTTAAGAAATGGAAAATATTTTTTCACTTTGTTGGTGCAACACCAGGATCAACTGATCTTGCATTTTTTTTACAACGTTTAACAAAGGAAGCAAAACCAGACATGAAAGATATTGTTAGCGATCTTGAAACACTTATACAACTAACCAATAGTTTATTAACAAATCCCAATACCGAACCTATTATACTGTTCATTGATGCTGTTAATCAGGTGATTACTTTTTTATGTTGAACTTTCTGTAACTAAAGCTTTTTGATCTAGTTGTATGAAAAAAAATTTTTTTTTTGGAATTTTAGTTTCTTATTGACTTGTTTAAACTTATTTTGTGTTAACAGTTAGATGAAGACAAACAACAGTTTCTTAGTCGATGGCTCCCAGATTGCTTATCTCCAACAGTTCGTATTGTTGTTTCTATGATTGAAGGCACGCAAAGTCATCAAATGCTACGCTCCTATAAACCTTCTCCTATTGAAATAGTTTGTGGTCCGCTCAATATGGAAGCAAGAATGGTGAGTTAATTATATTGTCTTTATATAAGATCTTAATTTTTTAAATTTAAAACAAAGTTATATAATAATCTTATTATTTTATAACTTTGTTTTAAGTTTAAAAAATTGTAGGCATATTGGGAAATAATGAGACATTTCTAATAACATCTGATTCATTGATGTATTTTAGTTTACATCAATGAATAACATCTTGGTTTTCTAACATCTGGGAATAACATTTGGGATTTCTAATAACGAGTTATTCATTGATGTCTTTCAGTTTTTATTAAATATTTTTAATAACATCTGAGTTAATCATTGATGTACTTCAGTTTATATAAACTTTTATAGACAGTTTTTAGTTCAGCTTTGATAAAACATTTCTAACAAAGTCTGAGTTAATCATTGATGTAGTTTATTTTTCATAAAACATTTTTAATAACATCTGGGTTATTCATTGATGTAATTTAGTTTTGATAAAACACTTCTAACAAAGTCTGAGTTATTCATTGATGTATTTCAGTTTTGATAAAACATTTTTCAATGACTCTGATAAATGTCTAGAACATTTTAAACTTATTAAATATGCAGGTGACACAGTTCAACATTAAATATGCATATTTAATGATTTTAGAATGTTCTTTAGAATCTATATATATATATATATATATATATATATATATATATATATATATATATATATATATATATATATATATATATATATATATA